CTGTTTACACGTGATAGAAGTAGTGATTTGAGATGCTGTAAAACATTACCCTGTTTACAGAATGTCATTTTCACACCCCATTATCATATCCTTTCGTAATATCCCTTTGTCATTCCCTTTCCCGTGCCTTTGCTTTCCAATGCACCCCTTTTTATCCCCTTGCATGCCTACTTTCATTTTCATGCCCCTCTCCTGACCAATCAGGTGCATCGCCTGGACAGGGAGACAAGTGGCGCCATGCTATTGGCCCGCTCACCTGCTTGTGCTCGTGTGCTCTCAGCCCTGTTCCGCGATAAGAGTGCTGCTGGCGTTCTTGCTGCTGCTGCTGCTGCTGCTTCTGCGGGCTCTGCTCCTGCTGGAGGTGAAGCTGGTGCCTTTGCAAGTGCTGGTGCTGCTGCTGGCGATGCTGCTGCAAGTGCTGGTGCTGCTGCAAGTGCTGGTGTCACTGCTGGCGATGAGGGAAGCGCTGCTGCTGATTTGTCCAAGGAGGGAGGTGTGGCACGGGTGTATTGGGCGGTTGTGATTGGCCGGCCGAAGCAGCTGTCAGGGGTCATCAATTCGCCACTGCACAAGGTTTGTGTGAAAGGGTGCTTAGTGGGCTTGCCATTGCATAAACAAGCCATTGCATGGGGCTTGCAGTGTGTGCCTGTGTGCTCAGAAGGGTGTTTGTGTACACATGTACACTTTCGTCAGAATGTGTGTGTGTGTGTGAGGAGGGGGGGGGGAGGGAGGGGAGGGGGGTGGGGATGGGTGGGTGCGTGTCAGTGTGCTAATTCGGATCATCACTGGTATCACTTCATGTGTCTGATGACTGCCTCTCGCAGTGATTGCATGAATCCACCATGCATCGCACATTGCCACATGAATTTTGGTTGTTTGCTGCTTCTAGCGCTAGCGTTCCCTTCCCTGCTGCCCCTTCCAACCTAATTTGCTTTTCATTCTATTTTTCCAGCCGGGCAACGACTCAAACTCGCCCACTAAGGAGCTGCCAGCTGTCACACTGTACAGAATCATCCAGAGCTCGCCTTCTGGTGGGTATTGGGACTAGTGCTGCTGGATTTGTGTTTTGTTGCGTGAACGAGGACTTTATGGTGAAGCTTCATATGTGACCCAGTTTCTCTGTGCACACACACAATACCCAGTTTCTCTGTGCACACACACAATACCCAGTTTCTCTGTGCACACACACAATACCCAGTTTCTCTGTGCACACACACAATACCCAGTTTCGGTGGGTATTGGGGACTAGTGCTGCTGGTTTTGTGTTCTGTTGCGTGCTTGAGGACTTTATGGTTAAGCTTGTTGTGTGACCTAGTTTTTCTTTGCACACACAAGAGCGATCTCACAATTGCGCAGTGGGTTTGAATTGCTCTCTTGAGAATTCTAAATTTTGGGTAGTCGGTGTTTCTCAGAGCACACACGAACAGTCCTGCAGTAGCACAATGGGTAGGGGGATACGTCTACATTCAAAAGGGATGGCGTCTGTCTCTGAAAGCATACTGTCTCGCATGTTCGCTTGTTGTGTGTGCTTCGCTGGCTGGCTTGCTGCGTGCAGGATACTCATGGTTGGAGTTGCGCCCGTTGACGGGACGCAAACACCAGGTGCGTGTGCTTGCGTGTGTGTCTGTCTGTGTACCACACACTCCCCTTGCACCTGCTTAAGCAGATTTCCCATCTTCGCCCATCCTTGCCGTCGCACCTCCCCACACCGCTCCCCCTCCCCCCCTCATGCTTGTACTCTTGCATTTGGCTTTTGTAAGTGCAAGATGTCACAACATGAAGAATAACATCGCAATCACGAATGCACCTGCTGAACTGTTCACTGTAGGTGTGCCGTCAGTTCGTTCCATTTTCCCAGTTGCTCCGTTGAGTAGTTTCTCCTTTCACATCTTCTGTATTGTATTTTTGTCTGGTATGGCATGTCTTCTCTGTGTCATTCTTGTGCCTTCAGTTGCGCATTCACTGTGCCCTGGCACTCGAGTGTCCAATACAAGGTGACATGACCTTCGGTGCATGGGCCCACAAAGGAGTATCCGGTGTACTGCCAGAAACTACACCTCAAGTACTGGTAGCACTTCCTGAAGGTTTACACCTTCATGCGCGGTCGATCGAAGTGCCTCTTATGGTTTCAACCGACGATTTGCGGACTCAAGACCCCTCTGCCGGGTGGAGGGAGAGGCGTGAGAATGGGGAGAGAAGTGCGCATGGGTTGATACCAGGAAAACATGATTCTGGAAAGAGAACGTTCATTGCACCGATTCCTGTGCATATGGCAAAAACATTTTCCATTTTAGCATTTAATAGTGGAAACGAATAGTTGAGGTCTTCTAACTTTCATAAGAGCTTCATCACTTCCATTACCTTCTCCTGATGCTCGTGCTTGTGGAGGAAACACTTGTTATCCTTTACTATCGAGTCAGTGCATATCGCGTCGCAAATTCAGGCAGCTCAAGGCAAGTGCCTCGGTGATCCCATTTCATCTGCTGCACGACAGATTCCCCACCTCGCTCTCACCACCCCACAATGCGAATTTCGGTTGCAAAGGGTTCCGACTGGCACATGCCATGCCATCTCGTTCTTTTGATGCTGCTGTGCTGAAGCAAAGCAGAGCGCTTTTCCGTGGGCTGTCGTTCCGAGGAGTACTTCCGTGCATCTCTCACAGGTTGATTCTCGACTCAGAAAGCGTGTTGCCCTGCAGACGACAGCCGCTGCCCCGGTTTCCTTAAAACGAGAGTCCCAGCCTCCTTGGCATTATAGATACGGCACAGGGATTATCGGCACAGGGACCCGATACCTTACACGCAACAACTCAAATGGACGGTATCGTGGATTCGTGGAAGCTTCCATCGCCAGTCGCATCATTATCCACGTCACACCCTCCTTTCCAGCTCATTGACTGTCACGCGCACACCTACCCTTCCCAGTTCCCCCACACCGACTTCCTCCCTCTCCTCCGCCGTGCTGCTGCTGCGTGCGTCTCTCACATCGTCACTGTTCCAGAAACCCTAGCAGACGCTCACGAGGTCCTGTCTCTCGCTCGATCCCATCCGCTCATCTCCCCCGCAGAATGCGAAACTGGAATCTCGCACCCTGCAAACCAATCCGAGCCGTCTGCCCCGGCTCGGCGCGACTTGGATGTTTTCGGATTGAGAATCGCTCCTGCTATCGGGCTGCACCCAGTCCAGCCAGGACCTTATCCACCTAACGTGGACACCACGTCAGCAGGCTGTAACCAACCGGCTCTTTTAACACTGTCTCATTCGGTCCAACTGTGTGAGCTGGAGCCAGTGTTGAATCTCATTCGGTCTAAGGAGGAATGTGGCGTGAAGGAAAGGTCGGGAAGCACAGTACAGGAAATAGAAGGTGGCAACGCCTCAGCAGCGCACACAGCAAAGGAAGGGTCCGGAGGAACCTCAGTGCCTTTGGTTTGCATTGGTGAAATAGGCCTTGATTTCAGCCCGAATGTGGTGGGTAAGCCAACAGGTGGTGATAGCAGCAGCAGCAGCAATACCAGCAGCAGCAGCAGCGGTAACAGCAACAGCAAAAGTAGTAACAGCGGAATAAGTGTTTCCCAATCAGAGGAACTCAAGAGCATGCAGAGGGAGGTGTTTCAGCGGCAGCTTTCTTTGGCAGCAGAGCTGGGTTTGCCAGTCAATGTCCACTCTCGCAGCGCGGGACACCACGCCATAGAGGAGATCGTCCAATCAGGACTTCCTGCCACGTCAGCAGCATTGATGCATGCGTTTGATGGGCGGTTGGTGCATGCTGAACGGGCTGAACGGCATGGCGGTTTCTTCTTTTCTGTGCCACCCTCTGTCGTCCGGTCACCACAAACACAGGTGCGTCTGAAGTGACCATGCAAGCTCACGTGGTTGCTGGTTAGGCGGGTTGGTGTGTTGCGGATGGGGTATGGTGTGTGTGGGATGATATGGTTCTGACTAGCCTTTGTCATACATTTTCCTCCCCTCTGGTGTTAACATGTTTGTTTTTCTGAATCGCAGAAACTCGTGAAGGGCCTTCCTCTTTCGTGCCTTGTGCTGGAGACGGACTCCCCTGCGCTTGCTCCTGAGTTGGGTGCCACCAATGAGCCGTGCAATATTGTGGTGTCGTGTAGGGAAATAGCTCGCATTCATGGTGTGACTGTTGCTGAAGTGGCCAAGACCACATGTGAGAATGCTATGCGTCTATTTCCACGTCTGAAGCTGGTATGATACAGGATGCACTCGGCCCACTATGAAGGCTTAGATTCACCTAATGTGTTCATTCCCATCTCAAACTGAGACGTGTCTGCAACTGCGACATCGAAACTTGAATAAATTTGTTAACGAAGCTATTCAAATCGGGTTGCGAGAAACCTCATCCATTGTGAAAGAACCGTTGTGACACGATATTTTTGCCCCACGTCGGCTCTCCTTTTGCGCCCACATATCCGAATGTTGTCTTTCAGGTTTCGAGGTGAATTTGTTGTCGCAGCTTGGCTCGTCGATGCGCAACAAATCGACGATCACCAACCATGCCGACATTGCCCAAGTGAAATGGTACAGTCAGAGCTCCACGTTGGGAAGTAAAGTGCGCTTGACCAATCCGAGTGTTCCGCGTTCAACGAACAGTTTGCCTCGTCAGCCCAGCAACAGCCACCTGCAACTCCGCATGACACTCCCCAATTCCCCTGCGCACATAGATGATCCACACATTGCCACGGAAAGCCCAGCAGGTGACCCGTTCCGCCAGCCAACCCCATTCCCCAAATTTGACTGAACGAAATCCCGAGGGAGCCATGTCAGCAACCAGACGATAATCGTCAGCTCGCGAACAGAAGTCGTCAGTTCACTGATCGCCTCAAAGCACTCTGCTATCCCATCTATCCACAAACCTCAGCTCACTCTTTATGTGCTTCTCCTCTCGTATTCGTTCTCTTTCAAGTTCGCAGCTTTCCTTCGCCTCCTCATTACGAAGGTTTCGTAGTTTCCCCTGATTTTTAATCAGCTTCACATTCTCCAATGGCTGCCGTCACTCTTTCACAGACAGCCACGGCCTCGTGCCGTGCCACTTTCAGCTCAGTGAAGCTCGAGTCGAAGCTCAAGAGGTCCGTCAGCCTCGCCGTCCAGCCCGCCTTTGCCTGGAAGTCTGCTGGCGTCGCTTCGACTGCCTCGTTCAAGGGCGTCGGCTCGGTTGTCGTCCGAGCGGTCGCGGAGGATGTGCAGGGTGGCGGAAACTACGGTGCTCCTCGCGAGATTCCAGGCACCAAGATCTATGTCGGCAACTTGCCGTTCAACGTCGACAGCGAGTCGCTCGCTGAGATCTTCCAGGAGGCTGGCGTCGTGGAGCTTGTCGAGGTAAGATAGCGTTTTAAGCCGTTAGTCTCATGTTGCCACGAGTTAGAGGTTGATCTACATTCACCGTCGCGGTTGATACTTAATTGCAACTGCTCGATCTTCGCGTTCGTATTTCGTAAGCATGGTTTCTTGTTAAACCCTGTGTGCACTACATATTTTTTTTGTTCTTGTTTTTCGTGCTTTTGTTCGTTTTTCTTTCTGGTGTGCATGCAGGTTATCTACGACAGGGACTCTGGTCGCAGCAGGGGTTTCGGTTTCGTCACGATGAGCACCCCTGAGGAGGCTCAGTCTGCCATCGAGAAGTTCGACGGCTCAGTAAGTTAACCTTTTTTTTGCTCACATCTGCAATTAATGGTTTAATGAGGATTTAAGTGTGAACTGTTCGAAAGCGTTGATGTAATCCACAGTTGTCAATGTGTGTTAGGATAATCTCACATGTGAGGTGAATTACTTTAAATCTAGGAATGCGAGCAGATGCATACTGCGACCATTAGTCTTTCAATCTCACTATGGTTGTTTTTATGTCCGTTTAATATTCGTAACGCGTGCAGGAACTCGGCGGCCGCATGCTCAAGGTCAACATGCCCGTTCCCCGCGGCGAGCGCGAGAGGGGTGCTCGCAACGAGAGGCCACGTGGCGACAGGCCCCGTTTTGGCGGTAACCAGGGCAACAAGCTTTACGTCGGCAACCTGTCGTGGGGCATGGACGACATGGCTCTGGAGGATCTGTTCGCTGAGTTCGGCAAGGTGCTCGAGGCCAAGGTCGTCCTGGATCGCGACTCCGGCAGGTCCCGAGGGTTCGGCTTCGTGACCCTGTCGAGCGACGCGGAGGTGCAGGAGGCGATCTCGAACCTTGATGGAGCTGTAAGTGCCAATACTCCATCTCGGTTTGACATTAGTCTTGTCATTTCTAAGACTGGCCTACCTGTTTGGTAGATTTTCAAGTGAACTCCCGATGCTCATTCTGGTTTCTCAATGTGCTTTGTTATTGTGTTCCTCTTTTCATTCATTTCAGGATGTTGATGGCAGACAACTGCGGGTCAATGTCGCTGCTCCCAAGGTTTGAATAGAGGAAGCAGTCTTAGCACTCTTGTCAGCTATCCCCTGCAGGGGTTTTCTTATCTCAATCTTCTTACTCTTCACGATTATTAGGTATCAGTTATGGACCTGATGGGTTTCTTTCTCTGTATTGACGGCTTTCATGAAGTGTTCACCGGTTTCTACTAGAACTGTGCAGTCCCGAGTTTACCATAAAGGGTGCAAGGTCTCGGAAGCAGACACACATGAGCGCGTGCGCCCTCCCCCCACCTCTCATTCGCTTGTGCCCGCTCCACTCGCGCAACCTCACGCGTTCCTTCCTTTTGCCCTTGACATTGTCCCGCTCCTTCCCTGTTTCAGTCCCCCCCCGTTCGCGTGCTTTATGTCTCGCTACCTGTTTTACGCGTTTTACCTGGTCCCTCCTTTCCTTCATCTTGTTCCCTCGTTCTCCATCTCTACCTCTCTACCTCCTTTGTTGTTCCCGCTGTGTTCCTTCTGTTAATTTCACACTGTCCACCTTCCACTCTGTTAGTCCTGCTTACCTTAGCACCCCATTGCGGGTTTTCCCAATCCAGAACCTCAAACCAATGTCACCTGTTCTACTTCCAGACCCGCCCTTGTTTGTCTTAGCCTTCAGCCCCTTCCGCTTTCTCAGCTTGTTCGCTGTGTGCACTGTCCTCTTCCCCTGTGTTCTTTAAAGCCGTTTCGTCAGGCCACTTCTCAGTCCCTCTTTCCCTGTGTCTCTGTGACTGACCACTTGCTAAAGCACCCGGGAAAATGCCTCGCTCCTCCCCAGCAACCGCCTCACCCATGCATGCCTCGCGTGCACGAAGTTTTAGATTCGTCTCTAAAGGGTAAAATTTAATTCTTGCTTCACGCTTGACCTTGCAGGAAGCCCTGCCTGATTAGGTTATACTGCACTCTTGAGAAACTGCATATTCGTGCAAAAACTTGCAAATAATCGTTCTAGACAACAGCGAACAAGGTAGGGGTGCAAGCAATAGTTAGATGACCTCATTTCAGACAAAACCTCCTTCACAACTGCATTGAACCACATTGAAAATGCATTGTACCACAAGAACGTTTATCAGAAGAATGATAAATGAGATCTGTTCATAACAATACCAGTACATATATTCAAAACTTGATCCGACGGTTGATTGATCTGACTAGGGACAGGCGCTAAGGGTGCATTCCTGCGGGGACACTTGTGTCTCAATTCCCGCTCTCCCGAGTCCCGCCTGTAAATTTGCCAAATGCTGTGTCACAAACAACCAATGTATCACGACTCTAGGCGACCAGGCGAGATGTACAGTTGTGCGCATTTGTTTGGGTGACACAAATGACTGTACATCCCTTTTTTCAACCGCTTGGCTGGGGTGTGGTTTCGACGAGCGGGATTTTTTCCCGCACGAAATTGGCATTGCAGGCTGTCCAGGTGCATTGACATTTCGAGCCACGTGCGAATTTTTCACATTGACGAGTCGGATTACAGTTCGTCAGCGACGTCAGCGCGTTTCACGCTGACCAATAAAAAGTACAGTAATGGTCGCGGAAATGCGACTCGCAATTGGGACACACTACAGTTTATGCTGTTTTTGTGTGTCACAAAGCGATTGAGACATTTGTGTCTCCACAGGAATGCGCCCTAAGGGTGCGCGTCCTTGAGGTGAGCCTTTGCCCACGTTTGAACTTATAGAAAGGTTGTGCACGGTAGGATACAGTTGAGAAACGCGTCGCCACTGTACAAAGCGGAACGAGGCTTGAACTTTGACAATCTACACCAAAAGACACGCGCCCTAATGCTGAGGAAAGAGCCTCCGCCAGAGAAAAGGCTCGATCAGTCAGGAAACTGGCTATTATTTAGAAAATGTTGTACACTATGTCGTACGTTCTGCACTGCACCATCCTGAACATGTGACAACATTGAATAGCAGATAACATCCCTCACAGCAGATGCTCCTGATGCAAGAGAGTTTTACCTGCACTGCAGCTCAAGACATTGATCATATATTAGGATAAGAAGCTTACATTATACCTAGCCTCCTACTCTGCACATCTACTGTACTTAGCACTAATTTCAGCAGTCAGCACTAACTCTAAACCTAAAACGGGCTAACGAATTTAGCTGCAGTCAGCAGCACTTTTGGAACCATCCACTTGCGCTCTGGTCCCTGTGCTTCTGCTCTCGGCCCCACAGCAACTGGCCCTTGCATTCCTGGTATTGGCAACCACCCTCCACCAGCAGTAAGCATGCCATCTGCAGCACGCGCAGTTAGCTTTTCAGATTTCGTCTCCTCAGGAACAATGACAGCAGCAGGGATCGATCTCTGAACGGTAGCAAAACTACTTGATTCAGGCGCCACAGTGGGAGCAGGAGATGCAGCAGCAGCGGTGTCTTGAGAAGCAGGAACGGCTCCAGTGGAGGTCCCAGGGGCAGGCCTTGAAGGACATGCAGCTTCTGCTGCAAGATCCAGTGCTGATGTGGCAGAATCCGATTGGTGAATGTGGCTGTGGATGTGGCTGGGGCTGGGGCTGTGCCGATCCACGCCATGCACTATTTCCAAAATATCTTCCACCAGCTCGTCTCTGCCGCCCCGAAACAGATCCTGAATTGGGAAAGGGGAAGCGGAAAACAATTGTAAGGAAAAGGAGAAGGAAGAAACAAGCGGTATGGCAAAGCTCTGCCTTGTGTTAGCTCTGTTGGCTGCGCTTTAGGCAGCTCCTTTATATGCAACATAATGTTTCCCTCTACAGTGACCCCTCACAGTGACATTCGACATAGGCATGGGGCCTGCAATGTGCCCCTTGACGAGGATCCATGTGCCTCACCCTTGATCTCAATTACGCGTGTTTTTGCAGCACGAGACCAATGTACTCCTTACCACTGTACAGCTTCAGTTTCGTCCTTATTTGTACCCTTTATAATGCAATTCATAGTACCTGGAGAGTGAGGTCGATGTGTCCCTTGCCGCTGTACAGCTTCACTCTCGTCTCGACCCCTGCTGTTTGCAGCGCTGATCCGAAGTCCTCACTGTGATGCCACGCCATGCCATGCCATGCCACACACATGCAAAGCAAGGAGGAAAAAGAATCTGATGAGGTAAGGTGCGGCAAGTTGAGCGGTAAGGTGCGGTAAGGTGCAAGGAAAGGAACGGAAGAGTCATCCACCCCGTGGTAAAGGTGCACAGGGAGCAGGGTTGATTGTAACAGGTGTGACTAGAACAGGTGCGTCTACATACCTGGCAGTGAAAGGAACGGAAATGTCGTCCACCCCAGGGCAGAGGTGCACAGGGGGCAGCAAGGGGGCGGCAGGTGTGACTGCAACAGCTGTGACTATGACAGGTGAACATGCACATATGTAAGTAGGTGTGACTATTACCAGGCAGTGAAAGGAACAGATATATGATATATTGACCACCCCGTGCTAGAGGTGCACAGGGGACAGTGGGTGTGATTGTAAGGGTGCAATCATAACGGGTGTGACTACACTGTCCTACCTGGCAGCTAACGGACCTAAAATCTCGTCTACCCCGTGACAGAGTGCACAAGGGGCAGCAGGGGGCGGCAGATGTGATTGTAATAGGTGTGACTCTAAAAAGATGCGACTATAGCGTACCTGGCAGTGAAAGGAAAAGATATATATCGACTACCCCGTGATAGAGGTGTACAGGGGGCAGTAGGGGGGCGGCAGCCTTGAAGGTGGGGCGGGAGACGAGAAGCTCGGGGGAGAAGAGAGGCAGAAACTGTGACAGGTGTGACAATTACCTGGCAGTGAACGGCACGGATGTATCGTCTACCCCGTGATAGAGGTGCACAGGTGGCAGCAGGGGGGCGGCAGGGGGGCGACAAGTGTGACTGTAACAGGTGTCATACCTGGCAGTGAACGGAACGGATATATCATCTACCCCGTGATAGAGGTGCACAGGGGGCAGCAGGGGGGCGGCAGCCTTGAAGGTGGGGCGGGAGACGAGCAGCTCGGGGGAGAAGAGAGGGAGGGACTCCTCGCCCTCGAATATGCTGCGGTTTGGTGGGTCGGGGAGGGGTGAGAGGGAGTGGGAAGAGGTGAGGGGGGTGCGAGGCAGTGACAAGGGGGTGAAGGGGCGAGGAGACAGAGGCAGGCTTGGAGAAGGGAGGGGGAAGGGGATGAGAAGGACAAGGGGAGGAGAAAGGGAAGGGGACGGGGATAGGGGAAGGGGAAGGGGAAGGGGAAGGGGAAGGGGAAGCGGAAGGGGAAGGGGAAGGGGAAGGGGAAGGGATTGGCTGAGACAGGAGGAGGGACTGAAGCAGTGCAGAAAACAATCACGAAACAATGTAAGCCGTCTAGAAACCAATTAATGATGATGAGTGCTGACACAGCTGAGAGGCTATGGTGACTCAGACTTTTGAGTCGACTCAAAAGTCACCTCGTAAGCTGTCTAGAAACCAAGTAATGATGATGAGTGTTGACACACGTGAGAGGCTATGTGACTCACGAGAGGAAGAGGTATGGGTTCATGCCCCTGGATTCAAATTGCGGTTCCAGGTTGATGAGGTTGTAGCTGGGGAAGAAACGGGGGAGGGAGGAGGGAGGGGAGGCGGATGGAGAAAGAGAGAGAGTGACTCATGAGTCGGCTGAAAAGAGGTAGGGATTAATGCCCCTGGACTCGAACTGCAGTGCCAGTTTGATTAGGTTGTAGCTGGGGGGGAGGGAGAGAGAGGGGGAAAAAGGGGGGCGAAGTTTGGGGGGGAGGAGGCGGAGGGAGAGGGTGACTCATGAGTCGGCTGAAAGGAGGTATGGATTCATTTCCCTGAACTCGAACTGCGGTGCCAGGTTAATCAGGTTGTAGCTGGGGGAGGGGGAAGGGGTGGGAAGGGGGAGAGGGGAAGGGGAGGCGCATGAAGTGCCTTTTGAGTCGACTGAAAAGAGGTAGGGGTTCATTACCCTTACCTCATGCTTTGAGTCGACTCAAAACTCGACTTTTCAGTCGACTCAAAACTCGAAAAGAGGTAGGGGTTCATTACCCTTACCTCATGCTTTGAGTCGAC